TTCTCTTGGGCGTGCCTTCTGAAACGTCATTACGCAGATTTGGAGTAGCAGAGAGCAAGGTTTCTGCTTCTGGCTACCACTCTTTCGCCGTCGCTTCCTGCGACAGCCAGGCACGAGCACGTCTGGACCCTACCGTCTTGGACTCTACACCTAAGACTCTACACCCTCAACCCTACCATATTCCACAACTCATATATACCCCAAACCCACACCCCTTAATTAACCTGAATACAAGGAAGGATTTTACCATGCCCCCATGAGTTCTTTTAAGGGGTATGCCCAAGGGTATGTTGAATGCCTCTTAGACATCTGGGCGGCTCTCCTGATTTCTGGTCCCGTTTGGGGTTTAGGGTTTAGGGTTCAGGGTTCAGGGTTTAGGGTTTAGGGTTTAGGGTACCTATCGGTTCTGGGGCTTAGGGTTTAGGGTCTAAATTGAGGGAGACCCGAGGAAGGCCCCTCTAAACTTGACAACCCTAGTAAGCCCTCCAAACTAAACCCTAAACCCGAAACCCTAAACCCTAAACTTCAAACCCTACTGAACCCGATATACCACAGACATTTACACCCTAAACCCTAAGCCCTCTGGGATGGGCCAGAGCTTCGTTCAGGAACCCTCCAGAAGAAGAAACACAACCCTAAACCCTAAACCCTAAACCCTGAACCCTAAACCCTAAACCCTAAACCCTAAACCCTAAACCCTAAACCCTAAACCCTAAACCCAAAACCCAAAGCCCAAAGCCCAAAAGCCCAAAAGCCCAAAAGCCCTAAGCCGAGCCTCACTCCCAACAGTTGCCGGGGCCTCTGAGCTCCCTAAGAAGCCTGAGACCTAGGGCTTAGGGTTTAGGGTTTAGGGTTTAGGGTTTAGGGTTTAGGGTTTAGGGTTTAGGGTTTAGGGTGGTTGGGGGTTCAGGTGTTTCTGCTGCTTAGGGTTTAGGGGCTGGGGGTTAGGGGGTTAGGGGGGTTAGGGATTTAGGGTTTAGGGTTTAGGGTCCCTAAGTTTAGGGTTTAGGGTTTAGGGATAGTGTAGTGAAATCCCTGGTGACGACATGGGTCCATGTCGCAGTTGCTCGAGTGGCGTTCCCACGCTGTCGCTGGCCCAAAGGCCCTGCGCCGTCTTTCAATCATACCTTTTGGGGTTTCTGCTGTTCAGGGTTTAAAGTTTAGGGTTTAGGAGGGGTTCAGGCCCCGAGCCAGACCGAGCCTTCACCTTAAACGCCTAATTCTGCACGTTAGCTTAGGGTTTAGGGTTTAGGGTTTAAGGTTTAGGGTTTAGGGTTTAGGGTTTAGGGTTTAGGGTTTAGGGCTGGGGCTTCGGGGCTAGGGTTTAGGGTTTAGGGTTTAGGGTTGCGGTTCTAGGCACAGACCCTGGTGAGACAGGAGCACTTGCTTTGCCGTGACGGAGTCACGACCTCAGGATCCAAGAACACTTGAAGTAGAGTGTGTGTGTGTATATACATATACATTATACTTGTACCTTAGGGTTTAGGGCTTAATTAAGGTTTAGGGTTTAGGGTTCCCTAAGCGTCCATGTACCTCATTATTATGTGCTTGGGCCCCAAGGTCCTTACGAGTATATAGGTAGTACTTTAAGGCCCAAGTATTCCCTATTTAGGTACATGGACCCTTAGGGAGAGCTTTTCAGGTAGAGTGTATATTTTGGTTGAGTGTCTTGGGTGCAGGGTTTAGGGTTTGCTCAAGCTTTAGTTTTGGGTGTCGTGTCTAGGGTCAGGGTTTAGGGTTTATAGGGCTAGGGTTCAGGGTCTAGAGCTATAGGGTTTAGGGTTCGGGCGCTACCGAGCTGCACCGCGCAAGCGTAGCTACCGGTAACACCTGCTTCGCTTTGGCAAGCAAGACCTGTGACATTGCGCTTCCAACCCTAAACCCAAAGCCTTACGTCCTAAACCGGAAGCCCTGTAGATTGAAAAGATACCCTAACACACCCTTAACCCCTAAATCCTAAACCCGAACTCCCCAAACCCTGGATCCTGCAAGTGGGGAGCCGTGGAAGCGACCAAAAAAAGAGAGAAAGGCTACGCTGCACGAGAACAAGACAGGTTTAGGCTGGCTAGTGTCACATGTAATACGGCCACTTACGTGCAAAGAACTCAGAGGCCAGCATATAGAGGTAGCGCTTGTCGGACAAATGTGCATTGCAGCTCCTTCCAACGACTGCATCTAGGTCCGACAAGAAGCCTTGGAAAGAACACTTCTACTTTTCCCCGCCGCCCCCCAGCCCCCTCCCCCCCTCTCCCCGGCCCCCTCCCCCCCCCACCACCACCCTGAACGGGAAGCCCCAAATCTTAAACGCTTACCCTAAAACCCCACCAACGCCCACAGCTCTTGCTCAAAGACCCTGAATCCTGAACCCTAAACCCTGAACCCTAAACCCTAAACCCTAACCCTAGGGCTCTCCATACCTGGGACCTTGATGCAAGCGAGGACGAGCCGAGAGCAGTCTTCAAAACTTTGACGATCTGAGAGCTCCGGCCCTAGTCTCCC